ACGGCTGAGCTTCTTGTCAGAATGAGGCTTCTTGTCCAATCTGCAGTGGAAAACATGAGATTAAACAGTGTACATCAATAACTAAGCAGTGTTCTAATTGTGTCAAATTAAATTCTAAGTCGAATCTAAATGTTCCAATAAATCATGCAGCTTGGGACAAAAGTCAGTGCACTGCCTTCACGAATGCTACAGAAAAACTGAGAAGAGACTTACTCGCTGTCAAATAGCAACTAGCTACTGCTTCAGGCCTAGACAGTCATGATCATGATGCTGATAGAGATAAAGACTTTATTATTTATTATCAAAACACTCGTGGTTTGCGTTCTAAAACTAATGAAATATTCAACTCTATTTCTCAACAAGACTATTACTCTTTGATAACACTGACATAAACGTGGCTTGATACTGATATCAATGATTGTGAGGTTTTTCCGGATAATTATTCAGTTTACAGATCTGATCGTAAGTTTTCAGCAGTGAATTTATGGAAAGGTGGAGGAGTGGTTGTTGCTGTTAGGAGTGAATATAAGTCATCTGCCATTGATATATATGTGTACCCACCTTTCAACCAGGTTAGTCCAAAGATAGATATTTTAGTAATTAAAGTCAGTGTCCATTACTCCAAAATATATGTGATTAATCTGTACATACCGACTATGAAATCTTGTTGGAAGCGATACATAGTCTAGCGTTTTTACATACTGGCAGTATTTTCATTGTTGGGGACTTTAATATAACATCATATGCTGATTATCTTGAAAATAGTATCTCAAATAGTTACATAAACACTTTAAACGTTTTAGCAAGATTTGTCAATGTCATTCAGTATAATTACATACACAATGACAGTGGAAATTTGCTAGATTTAATTTGGAGCAATGCCATTTGCTATGTTGAACATGCTGATGATGCGTTAGTGTGTGAGGATCCCCATCATCCTGCATTGATTGTCACTGTGAGTCATTTTCCTTCCACCAAACATAATAACGTGTTGCATAGCGACTTTAAAGGTTCATATAATTTTAGGAAAGCTGACTTTCAGCTGCTCTATGAAATGATTGTGAATATTAGCTGGGGCGATTTGGAAAATTTTAGTGACGTTGATTTAGCTTGTGAATATTTGTATTTTGAGATCTATAGAATTCTTGATTGTTGTGTTCCTAAAGTTAGAATATCTTATAATAATAGGTATCCTCCTTGGTACAACAGTCATATCATTAGAACCCTCAAACAAAAAATGGTGGCATTCAAGACTTTCAGACGCACTGGTGATACTTATTATATAGAAAAATTTATAAGACTTCGCTCAGAGATAAAGCAACATGTAGCTGTTTCATATCGTCGATACATTCACTCTTTACAGTGTGAAATATCCAAAAGCTCCGACAAATTCTGGTCTTTTGTTAATAGAAAAAGAACCTGCACTGGTATTCCGAAGGATATGCTGTACAATGGGCTGGGATTGAATACACCTAATGATGTTGTAGACGCATTTGCGGAACACTTTAGTGGGAGCTATAATACTCCAACAGCTCAATCTAATTTTTCTAATTTTTCTACTGACTACCATTTCACTACTACACTAGCTATGCTTAGTGTACAGAAAATCGATGTGCTACAGGCGCTCAAGAAAATTAAGCCAAAAATGACTGCAGGGCCTGATCAAATACATGCATTTTTTGTGAGAGATTGTGCGTCCATTTTAGCATATCCACTCATGATCATTTTCAATCTCTCTCTGAAAAATAATCACTTTCCATCTATTTGGAAGTTGTCTAGGGTAACTCCTGTTTTTAAAAAAGGTGAGAGGAATTATGTAGAAAACTATCGGGCTATCACAATTATCAGTAATTTCGCTAAAACATTCGAAATAGTGATACAAACTGTGCTATATTTTCATGTAAGCAGGTCTATCTCCGTCAGTCAACACGGTTTCATGAAGGGCAGGTCCACAGTTACTAACTTGCTGCATCTTACTCAATATGTTTGTGAATCAATTGATAGACAACTTCAAACGGATGTAATATATACTGATTTCTCTAAAGCGTTTGATAGTTTAGACCATAACATTCTACTCAATAAGTTATCTAGATTTGGTCTTTCAGATGCATTGTTGCTATTTTTCAGATCTTATTTATGTCTTAGGAAACAATATGTTATGTGCAATGGACATAAGTCAAGCGAATACCCTGTAATGTCCGGTGTTCCTCAAGGATCTACTTTGAGACCTCTGTTATTTATTATGTTCATAAATGATATTTCTGAAGTTATCGATGTCGATTTTCTTATATATGCTGACGATATAAAACTTTTCTGTAGAGTCTCTAACATTGACGATTGTCATCGCTTGCAATGCAACATTGTAAGGGTTGACAATTGGTGTCGTGAAAACAGACTTGTTTTGAATGCCACGTTTTGTCGTTTACTTTAAAAACAGGGATAATGATGTATGAATATAGTATTGGTGACAGGAAACTTGACAGACCTAGTACAATTAATGACTTGGGAGTCACATTTGACAGAAAACTTTCCTTCTCCTATCACATTGAAAATGCTGTTGTCGCTGCATCAAAGGCGTATGGTTTTATTGTAAGAAATACCGGCGATTTCCACAACTCCTTTACACTGAAAATACTGTACTATGCTTATGTAAGATCTAAGCTTGAGTATGCGTCCCTGGTATGGTATCCTCATCATCAAATATATATTGACCGCTTAGAGTCCGTTCAAAGAAAGTTTTTAAAATACCTCTCATACAAAGCTGACGGGATATATCCCGCTATTGGCTTTCCTCATAGTGAGTTGATGGCGAGGCACAAAATCTATAATTTAGAGAGCAGACGCAAAATGAATTCACTTAAGTTCATCCACAAGCTCATCCACGGCATTATTGACACCAGTGTCATCTTAGAACAACTTAACTTCTTAATTCCTAGATTAGCGTCACGAACTAGTTTAACTTTTTACTTAGCCAGGCCTAGGACTGACATACTTAAGTTTTCCCCTATATAATATATAATGTGCCGTAATTATAATTCAGTTAATAGCGTTTTAGATATATTTTCGCTTTGTGCGACTTTGGGAGACATTAATGCTTATTTTCGTTAATGCTTGCCGGTGTGATTGTTGAGTGCTAGGTAGGTAAAGCTAGAACGCTTTTTTTTCCTCCCAGTTCTGTTTGGCGGTTTTTTTTTGCAGCGTTTTAGCTTTCTCTACATACATCCACAACATGCATTTGTTTATATTTTCATGTTTATCGATCCTGTAATTGGCTATGGATGTTGGATGTTGCTAAATAAATAAAAATAAATAAATAAATGTCCCATTCTAACCGTGTCGAACATCCAGAACTAGCCGATACGACCTCTCCTTGGTCCCTAGGGTATCGATATTGTGGAACAATCTACCTGAGGAGACTTTTCTCTGTTCTAATGACCCTAGGCAGTTCAAAAATCGGATTAACAAAGTTTCGTTGAGATCCACATATCAGCCGCGGTGCCTTCGTATTTAAACGATCAACTTCGTTACTATACCCAACTTTATTTTATTCACTTGAGTTTTACCAAATAGTAATACTAAGCAATGTTCATTGTGTTATTTCTGGAAGGCCATTCTTCGTTAATGTAGTCGTTAGAATTCAGCGACTTTATACGATGATCATAATCTACATCAATTTAGATGCTATCGATGGTAGTAACAAGCCATTACATGTATAATATGTCTTTTACGCACTTTGCAATTTACACGTATGGTCATTTTTATGCATTTTTCAGTTACTGAAGCCGTACAGTTACGCAGTAGAATAGATATAGCGTTATTTCGTTAAGTAATAAAGTACTTTGTAATTGGCACCATCCTATGATTATCTTGTTCGTGATGTGTAAGTTATACCTACAGACAAACATGTAATATACATTTTAAAGTATTATCTTTTTGCTCTTTTGCACCTGGATTCAGACCGTAGAAAAGATATTGTGTTCGAAGATTGCCGACAAATAGACTGATAAACAGGCACACAGACAGATTCGAGTTAAAATAAATTTGGGACGTGTTTTTCACAACCCTCCTCGCGCTCTTCAATCTTCAATCGCTCCGGGTCATAAGTCCTGAGCCCCCACCCCCCTCCCCAAAAAATTTAAAATTCATCAGATGGACCAAAATATTTTCTAGATCCGCCACTACTCTCGGCAGTCTTTTAGATTTCATGGAACGTTCGGAACAAAAATGAGTCTTAATAACCTTTCTCTAAAGTTAACCGATTCCGAGTTAGGGACGATTTGAAGTCTGAAAGACTCCAAAAATGCCCATTTTCGGTGATTAGAAAGTCAGTTGAAAAGCAATATTTTTGAGCTTCATCCTTCTGATTCATGTTAAGCCGCGTCCAGATTTGTACCACATCGCGTAACCGTACCACGTCGCGAACCTCCTTGCGAACAGAAATCTCGCCATCACGTACGCTGCATCGAACAACACTTCGAACCTCGCTCTGCAACCATTTAGGCGATCCGTGGTGAACGAATATATTTGAATTTCTGCTCGGTAGTAGTAGTCGATTTAATTTTCAAAATGGATGTCGCCGCAGCAGCGTTCATATATATTCATTACGCTTTATCAGCTAAAAAGCGAAAACAAAAACAAAGACGGTGGTGGCAAACAGAAATATTTAGAAACAGAATGAAATATGGCGCAAATAATTTACTTGCGGATTTAAAGGTGCAAAAAATTAGTGGCCAATACAAAAATTTCAGTCGAATGTCACCAACAGATTTTGAATATCTTTTGAATGCTATTCGGCCTAAAATACACCAAGTTCCGGAAAGCAATTTCAGTGCAAGACAGACTAGCTGTGACCCACGTTTTCTGGCAACAGGAGATTCCTATTCAAGCTTCCAATATTTGTTCAGAATTTCCAAGCAGTCCATTAGCGAAATCGTTCCAGAAGTTTGCCAAGCCTTAGTTGAAGAATTGAAAGGAAGTATTCAGGTAAATAAAGCAACACATTTAGTGGGTTCATATTTTCTATATTTCAAGTTATGAACAAATTAGTCACACATCGCCGCTTTTACAAGCTCTTCATATGTAGTTTCTTCTGACGAAGGATTTGTAGGGGAACATTCAGGGGGAGAACAGAGTGATGAAGATGAATTATTATGATATTCTTGTGGCGATATCGGATGTTGAGATTGTTGGTTTTGAGAATATGAGGGATCTTGGGATGATATTGTGAGAGCAGAAGAATAACTGTGGTTGTACAGGGTGGTGTATTATATTTGGTGTAGGATAAGGATGGTATTTATATTGAGAAGTTGATGGGTGAAGATTGACTGACCTGGGATGGGGATGTTGTGGCTGCTGATAGAATCCAGAATCTGCATTAAAGATGATACCCATTACGGCTTGCTGCACAGCGATTTTCGTAACTTTCGAATACGAGTCCAATTTTTTAGCTATCAATTTTCCAAATAGATCAGATTCGCTGTCATCTTTCTGATTGTGAGCAGCAGATGTTTTCAGAATTTGGAATGCTGCTTCTAGTTTGTCTTGCGAACCACCATTTTTCCTACTTTTTTTGGGAATTGGGTCAAGGGATGGACCTAGAGCGGCACCAGTTGTAGTAGGACGAAGCAATGGCGTCTGCTCCTGCCCATCATGAGTCGAACCGGAAGCTGAATGCTCGGATTGTGTGTCTTCATCCAAAATCTATAAATAAAAAGTTTGTGCTTTTTATATAATTTTTTAATAATGATATATTCGACGTGCAGTTTATTTGCGTTTTATTTACAGATACCCAAATCACAAGAGGGATGGCTAACCGTGGCTGACGAGTTTGAATCAATATGGAACTTTCCACATTGCCTCGGGGCCTTAGACGGAAAACACGTTGTTCTACAAGCACCCATAAATAGCGGAAGCGAATATTTTAATTATAAGAGTACCTTCAGCATTGTCTTTTTGCTGTGGCGGACGCGAAATATAATTTTCTATACGTGAATGCTGGGTGCCAAGGCAGAATATCTGATGGCAGAGTTTTCAAAAACACCCAACTGTACAAGAAATTAGAGAAAAATGGTTTGAGTCTTCCACCAGCTGAACCTCTAAATGGAAGAGAAAAAAGTATACCTTTCTTTTTTCTTGGAGACGAAGCTTTCGCATTGGCTGAAAATCTTATGAAACCTTTCCCAGGCCTACATACTAACGGGTCTGTGAAACGAGTTTATAACTATCGCCTCTGTAGAGCACGTCGAGTGTCTTCGGCAGTTTTCCGAGTGTTACGAAAGCCACTACTATTGGAACCAGGAAAGGCCGAGTTAATTGTAATGACAATAACTTATTTACACAATTTTTTGCGAAGAAGTTGTAATTCTTGTAATGTCTATACACCCCCCGGGACATTCGATACAGAAGTGGACGGTCGCCTTATTGAAGGAAGCTGGAGACGGATAATTCCGAATGATGAAACAATGATTTCACGACTTCCGTTGAGAAATGTACCTCGCAGGTCATGCAAACGTGCTCAAGAAATTCGAGAAGAATTGGCAGAATATTTTCATGGTCAGCTTGAATGACATGATGATTATTCTTAAAAAATTAATTATGTAAGAACATAACTTATACTTTTCAGTTTAAAATCTCTAGGCCCTGTTACATATTCGCAATAATGCAAAACAAATAATGATTCGTTTAAAATTACCATGCTTGATGTTTCTCTAGGGCAATTTTTGTCTAGATGAAACTCCATCGTCTTGTATGCAAACCAGTTGCTTTCATAAATTTCATCTGAGCCTACTGATAAAAATAAAAAATATATGTAAGTTATATTGTAAGATAAACAAGAATATTAAAATATACCTTTCCCGGTTCCTCCACTTTTCTTCACTTTAGCCCTCTCCCGTCAGAATGAAGAAAGCAAATTGGTCACTTTTTTTTTTATTTCCTCCACCGGTTGGTTCAATTCGGCAGCTATTTTGACCCATGAATCATATTTTCTAAGTTTGCTATAGTATAATGAATGTTTTGGATTCCATAAGCATTCATTCTGCCTATATAAACTGATTAATTCTAGCACGCGGTCTTCGGTTCACTCCATTTCGCTAGCAGAGAGCCCAAATAATGATTGAAGAAATGAAATTGTTCGTCTGCCTGTCCAGACTTGTGTAACGTCGTCGCGCACCAATCCTTTGATGTTCCGTCCATTTACCGACTTGCCGTGGATCGCGACGTACCACGAGCTGAAACACATATTAGGTTCGCGACGGCGTTCGTTCCGACGTCCAGACTGGTTCGCGGGGTGGTACGGTTGCGCGATGTGGTACAAATCTGGACGCGGCTTTAAGGGGCGAAGCAATTCCACAAGTCACGGACCGACAATTAGACGACGTTTTTCGACAATTTCTGTCATACCGGTTAAAAAAAGAGATACAGCAACAACTTTATCTGAGATGAATTTAGTACCCTTTTCTGACCTTGTTTTGAGAAATCACGAATTAGTTTAATTGCAGTGGCGAAGCGTCCATGTAACCATTGTTACCCTTGGTAACAGTTTAAAATGTTAAAAATAAATATTTTATGACTAAGTACTGTGAAATAATTTCATTTATTTGTTTACCAACAGGGATATGTAATAGTAATTCAGTAAATAGCAAATTAGCCCCACGAAAATAATGCGCCCTATATTGTCTAGGTTCGACTTGGTTGTCGGTTGTTACCATTTTTATTTATGGATACGCTTGGTAGTCCGTCGGGGACCGCCGGTACAGGCTCGTGTCTGATCGCGGTCGCCCAAGTGCGTGGGGCGCTGCGACTATTATGTGGGCTTGTTACCATTTTTTGATTTGGTTGCTCACTTCTCACTCGTTAGTAACCGTTTTGGTTACTGGCTGTAGTGTGCGTGCAATTAAACATGGATGAGTGTCATTCTCCTTGTATAATTTTTAAGAAAAAAAGGATATCATTGAAAATAGAAGACCAACACCTAATTTAGATAATTTTAAAAAGGAAGAAAAAAACGTACTTTGATATTTTAAATTAAGTTGGTATATGGAAACTCTTGGTTATGTGGTTGCAAAAAAAACAGATTGTATTGTTGGCGATGTCTTCTGTTTTATACAGAAAAAAATGGGTGAACCAGCGGCGGAGTCAACGATTTAATTAGTTTTAGGGCTCTAAATAGGAGACATGAAATTTCTCCGTTACATGTGAGATGTGTAGCCAATTTAATTCACTTTGGCAAAACAAGAATCGAAAGTTGTCTTAAACAAGCTTTTAGGCAGCACACTTCTAGATACCGTATGTTTTTTGGCAAAACAGGAAGTACCGTTCATTTTGAAGTGGATTACTCTGACAATAGAGGCAATTACAGGGAATTGTTAACATTCATCGCCAAAAAAGATCAAAACTTTGGTCGACTGTTTTTTCGGACGGCTTGGATTAGTCATAGTATAAGAGGATTAGGTATATCAAGTGCCCCAGATGCTCAGTCCAGGAATGTTTACCTTAATTTCAAAATAGTTTAAATAAAATACCTAAAATAAGCAAAAAATTATATTTGGGAGGTTCAAAATAAACTTTTTTTAAGAAGATTTTTCACATCTGGTTTTGGTAACAGTTTAGGAAGAATCATAGCTTGTCCTCAAGAGCTGACGTATTCGCTTGATTGTGAATAAAATTGTGTATTTAACATATATGGGGTTGTCCAATAGGGACGCAGGAAAGTAAACGTCAATTTGACATAGTCGCCATCTTTGTTTTCTGTCACCGACATGTCATTTTGTTAGTTGAATGTTTACCATTGATCGCTATGGAGTCGTATTCGATTGAAGACCGCATTAAAGTTATTCAAGAGCACTACAAAAATGGTGCAAAAATAAAAAACAGGTTTCGCGCGCTCGTGAACATTTCGGTCGCAACAACCGCCCAAACGAAACAACCATCGGTCGTCTGGTGCGTAAATTCGAGGCAACAGGTTCTGTGGCAAATCTGCCAGGCTCTGGCCGGCCAAGGAGCGTTCGCACACCGGAAAATATTGCTGTTGTGAAGGAGAGTGTGAGAGTCGATCCGAAACAATCAACAACGCGTCGATCCCAAGAATTGGGCATTTCTAGAACCAGTTTGCTCCGCATTCTCCACAAGGACTTGAATGTACACGCCTACAAGATCCAATTGACGCAAGAGCTGCGTCGGGCCGACCATTTTTCGCGCCGAACGTTCTCAGATTGGCTCCTTGAACACCGCCAAATTGATGCCAATTTTTCATCAAAAATCATGTTCAGCGACGAAGCGCATTTCACTTTGAATGGGACGGTAAACAAGCAAAACTGCCGCATCTGGGCGAACGAAAATCCCCGTGAGTATCAAGAGCAGCCGATGCATCCTCAAAAAGTGACTGTGTGGTGTGCATTGTGGTCAAAAGGCATCATCGGACCTTACTTTTTCGAAAATGCGGCCGGGGACGCCGTTACCGTCAATTCTGAGAGATATCACGTGATGATAGGGGACTATTTTTTGCCGCAACTTGAAGGAATGGATATGGACGATGTTTATTTCCAACAAGACGGTGCAACATGCCACACAACCAACGTCAATATCCATCGATTGCAGTCCTTCTTCGGTGATCGCATGATTTCGCGCAGAGGAAATGTGCCATGGCCACCAAGATCGTGCGATTTGACTCCCTTGGACTTCTTTTTACGGGGATATTTGAAAAGCAAAGTCTACGTCAACAAACCAGCCACCCTCCAAGAACTCAAAAACAACATCATTGCCGAGATAAATGCCATAGAACCGACCATGTTGCAAAATGTCATTGAAACTAACGACCATCGCGTGGACCTCTGTAAATCCAGTCGTGGTGAACATTTGAGCGATATTATTTTTCATACATAAATGGTATAAATGAACCTTCAAAATAGAGTACCCAACTTGATTTGAATATCAATCTTTCTTGTTTTAATATGCGTTTACTTTCCTGCGTCCGTTTTGGACAACCCCACAATACAATTCCGAAATGGCAAAGGATTATGTACGATAAGATTCAGTTTTTGACTTTCAGGTTGATATGATTCCAAAAAAAACCTAAAAAATGGCTTCTACGAATGCGAGCTTTTCAGTTTCAGCACTTATTTTATGACATTGATAAATCTGATAAAATGTGTCACAAATAGGCAGCAGATATGTCTAAAAAGTTATTTACCAGCTGAAAGATGTACTTACTCCGCATATTTGCCTTTTAATAACTTGATGCAGAGTGATATAGGTGACTAGAATGACATAACGCTAGAGGTATGGAACAATTATTGTGCATAGGTAGTGTAATTAATACACCCATGAAAACCGTCAGATATTATTTTTAATGATTTCTAATGCTTAATGCCAGCAATGCCTAACGTAAAATTTTCTCCACACCTATCATAGCGCAATTGTGCCTAGATGTAATAGCTGAGAAAGATAATGGGTGTATTATTGAACAAAGATCAAATCTAATGGTTTAATTAATCTAGCTTGCATAAAATTGCTATGACAGCTTACATCGCATCATACAGGTGGTGATTATTCTCATCATCAAATACAGGTATGAGTGTGAGATCCATACAGACACTTTTGCCTGAGGAATAGAAAGTTACACTGGTGGCCAAAGAAGCTGTAAACTACGAAATTTAATACAACAATCAGAAAAATCTTGGAGCTTATTATCTGTATTTCCAAACAGCAAATTTTTTACCGATATGTTTATGATGACGATTAGTCATCCGCGTTGCGAAAAGGCATGTACATCAACGATGGGGTTTTACCTGGACAGTTGTGAAATAATTTTGATTTATTTTATTTCAGTTTTTGAGCACCCAGTCCTAATCTAAGGTTTTTACCAGAATTGTATACCTAACAACAACATTGAAAAATGCAAAATGTTTGAGACAAACCAAATTTTTGTATAGATACTGGAAAGCGCCAACCCAAACTTTAATCCAATTTAACTAAACTGAAATTAAACTTTATCTACCAAAACTTTGAATTTTAAAGTTCTTTGGAAATGTAATTTCGCGTTATAAAGAAATGTTACGATATCGTCATTTAAGGGCCACGAGATTCTATGGAGGAGGCTCCGTACGACCAAAAAACAAATGAATATCAAATCAAACGAAATAATGAATAGCTACCTGAATATCCTTTACAGGGGAAAGAATGTACGCCGATGTCTTGGTCGTCATTTTGGTATGGAAAATTAGCCAAAAGTACACACTAAAACTGTTCAATTTTGGCGACCAACAATGCAATTTGGGTCCTTCTAGTCTACGAATAAGTATTCTAATTTGAGGCAACCCAAAATTATTTCAAATCATCCTAAGAGATAGCTGCCAGCATAAAGCCTAACTTTATCATGACTCACAAAAGTTTTTATCTGGTGGTCAAGGGCGGGCTTAGCATTTCGTCTAGGGGAGGAGGGCTCAAACGATATTTGCGGCTGGTAATGTTTCAACCTCATTGGAACTTCTAGAATTTATTCTATTGTTGCTCCTTAAATCCATTGTGTTATATCTGGTCAATGCCAGCTTGAAAAAAAAACCATGGAAAATGCTCAGAAATCCTCAGAATTGCAATATTTTATTATATGAGAACAAAATATGTACGTGGCATTTATAATTCACTAGTGTAATAATATTAAAGATTAAAACATAAAAAACTTTGCTCTGTTAACCGAAAAAAATAAGATAAAACATTCTGAGGGACCTCGAGACATATCCCAGTCCATTCCACACAAAACGTCTTTGATGGCAAAAACGAACATGCGACCGAAAAATTCACATTATATTATGGATGCTAGACGAGACAAAGGAGAATGTCTATAGACCATCTATAGATCGTGTCTTGATACCGTCTCCAGACTGCCTATAGACAAATTGTGAAACGGGGTCTACTGGTCTGTACTAAGCTCAGGGATTAAACTCTGAACTGCCCATTAAGCAAATCAAGTAATTGGTACAATCAAGCACTTCTACTATATCAGCGGGTGATAAAAATATCAAAAGGTACAGTCAATTGTTTTTTGAAATCCAATATAGATGTTACAGTTATTCTTCAGACTTCCGTTGTCGAACTTAGATTTACGGCATAGTTGTTGTTCTCTCAGTTTTCGAATCCATGTTGATCGCATGTAAAAATGTTGGATATCTTTGGAAAAAACTATATCTGTTAGATCGTAGTTATTTTGATACTGTATGTTTGTACGAAACAAGTATAGGAATACAGGGCTGTACATATTCACGTGTAGTGCAGAAGCTAAGTGATTCAAAATTCACAATAGCAACATAAATAGACACATACGCGGGAAGAGATGCGGGACGTGTATTATTGACTTTGAGCATCGATTGACGCATTTTCTGGACAGGCCACAGGCGCACCGCTGAACAAATATCATAAATATCTATTTTCAACTTTTAGTGTTTCATCTAACATAGTGCTTCGCTGCAACACCAACCCCGAACAAAATCAGTCAAGCTTTACACACTTTTCACATTACTATTGAGGAACAAACAGAACATAAATTACTTTTTAAGTGCAATCTGTATAGCTAATATATTACTCAGACTTAGATTTGCCACAAGTCACAATACTCGTATATATGTATAAATCGTAAGAATTGTGCTGTAAACATAAGAGATGTCAAAGAGACAGCGTTTGGAATACCAAAACATACCAAAAAATCGCAATGCTCAGTTCCTACCACTATAACTTATAGTCAGTATGCCTCTGTCGCCATGATGTTTCAGAAAGTATCTAACACAATGGTGTTAGATTATAAAAGCAAGTATCAGACGTCTAGCGCCCCCCACGCCCCCCTAAATCCAGCACTGCTGGGGATTCGTATAACATTCATGTAACAATGTGTTTGTTCAATCCAATCCATAGCTTTGCTGATGACAGCACTCTACATGCAGGAATTCTGTGAAAAGCCGATCTCTGCTGGTGAGTTGGAAAAAAGAAGACTAGTCGCGACTTCCTCCCTGATGAGCGATCTGTAAGTTATCACTGCTTCGGGACGCCACAATCTTGTACAGTTTAGGCGTCCATAACACGGTACCGTGCCTTTACGAAAAAAGCGTCCTAGCGCTTATCCGGTTTCGGTGGATGGCCGACTTCTACCAAAGACTGACTCTTCGCTGACGAACAGTCTCGGGACCCTTTCGCACCGGCGGGCCGCCTGCGATCGAGCTCTGTTCTACCGCTATGCCAATTCACCTCAAAGTCCTCCTCCATAATGCCGCCGCGCGACGTGCCTGCCAGGTAGATCCGTCTAACATCGGCCTCACATCCTAACCGGGTCGAACTTCGTACGTCCAGAACTGGTCGATGCGACCGCTCCTTTGTCCGAGGGTATCGAGATTGTGGAACATTCTACAAAAGGAGGCTTATTCGGTGTAAAAAAAGGTAGACCTGTGCATGCTCACCTTTGGGTGAAGAGTGCATGTTTACCTTTGGGTGAAGACAGCATGCAGTTCATAAACGTCTGATTGCCGTCGGTATGTGTAAGATTACAGGATAGTTTGACTTGCTAGTCTAGCGCCCCTGCAGCTTCTGTTTGCCTGTTCACTGTTGTGCGGTGGGTCAGAGCGTTCGGCGTCGATGGGAGGAGGGCCTAGTAGATCGGCGGTGGAAGAAAGCTAGAAAACACGAGGTCTGGATGGCGGTAGGCCGGCCACTATCAGTAGCCGGTGCGGTCGGATCGGCGCGCATCATAAGACAGCGCAGCCCGCAGCTTACTACGATCGCGATCCCAAAGACCATAAACGCGCCAAACTTACAGCGTCTGGCGCCTGTTTGACATCGCGCGCGCCGTGTCATCACTTTGGGCTTTCGAGCCGGATAACTCCTAAGGTGATATCCCCAGCGCTAGCTGATTGAGGCCCTTAAAGTTACGAATTTGGTCCTTCATTCCGGATAACTGTTCGGGCGATTTTTGAAATCTCCGGAGCTGCGTAATCAAAACTTCAAGGTGTTAACTGAGCAGTAGGTGTTCAAAGATTTCCGATTGTTAATAATTTCAAGACTTCTCAATCCGTTATTTCGCATAGCTTAAGAGAAGCAGCTGCTTTCCAGTAACGCTAAAACACTTTTTACATGTGTTGCTGTTTTCCTTTTCAGTGTTGTAGCCTCTTGAACTCCGTCCCCACATAAAGTAACTCCCTGAGTTATATGAGCTGCGAGCACTCATATTTTTGTTAAATACCTTCCATGAGCAATTAGCAAACACAATAAGGCTATTCAGTTGGCCAGTTTCATTTGCTAATTTCCATTATCCAAAAATCATCCTAGGTATTTCAAAGTGTAGGTATCACCTTTTCTGGAAGCTTCAACTTCAATAATCCACAAGTGCAGTGTAGTGTGCCCGCTTATTGGCTTTTTAAACAATCGACCTTTCGAGAAAAGTGGTAGTGTTAAGTTATAGTATACCTTCTGCAAATTTGATTCTGCAAAATTTCAACGACCTAAAAAGCAGATACGTGGTAAGTACACTAGATGAGTGCTAAATACGGAGAATGTGCTTTTTGCTTTTTAATACGTTTTTGAATAGCATCAAGCATAATATTTTGCTACAATAAAATGACTATTCTTTTGAAAATTAAACCTGCCACGAAACCAAAGTTTGCGTACATATTCCAGGCCTCAATTAGGTTATGGAGCAGTTAAGCACTAACAGACACAATAAAGTTAATACCTTTGTGGTCGCTTCCAAATGCTTATTCATTTTTTAAACCGATTTACTTTTGATTGTGTTATCGCTAGAGCTTTTATAATAATCTTAGTAGTTTCACAGGCATTTTTCAAGCTGCAAAAAAGGTTGATAATATCACTCAATGAAAATTTCACAGCACTCTAAGGGTGTAATGGGTAAGAAGAGCTTTCTGGTTCATTTGTTGATTGTAACTCAAAATAAACAAAACAGTCTGTCTAAAATATTGAATTCCTAAGAAGAAAGTGATCGGGTTATTACGAAAATCGTCGATTGTGGTGTCTTGAAATATCTGCTTTATTTTGGTTTGATTATTCCACTGCCAAAGAAGCAACCCTCACATCATAAGCATAGTTACCAACAACAGACGACGAAGCATTGACAGCTGTTTTATGCTATTTAGCAATTCCTCAGCATGGTCTAGGCTTGGAGCAGGTGGGGCAACCGACAAAAGCTGACCAACTACCCTCTTTTCACTCCCTGGTACTAGCTGGCATCCTGTGTTATCTTATTTCGATAGACCTTATATCCTGGATAGAGGCTAGTTGCTCAGCTTTCGTTCGTTGTCCTACCTGAGACCAACCCTAGACCATGCTGATGAGCTGTCAAATAGCACGTTACAGCTGCCCATGGTTGTTTATCTGTGGTCGGACCAATGAGAGCCATACACAATGACACATATACTGGTTTATTCAATGGCGAGTAGACCGTATCTACTATAGCACCAGAATCGGCGACATCTAGCGGCCGCAGTGGTGACCCGGCAGTCGAATGTGAACCAAGATACAGTTCCAACAGACGGCTTGCTGTTTTCACTCTCGTAGTGGTCGATTCTGGAAATAAATGGCACATTGTTCTGTTTTATTTCAATAACCTTCACATTATGTCGGTTCATACATTTTATTAAATTTGGTGGAATACTGTATGAGGTATTGTAGCTTATTTCGTCCAAAATGTATAGAAACTTTTATCCACGATTGGCTAAAATCAGAAATTTAGAGTAGCACTTAGGAAGAATTGAAAATAAAACTAAATTGACCGTATTATTACCATAATAATAGTTCGTTTGGTCGCTATGTTGTATTCAGCGTAGGTTAATTTGTACGTTGCGGACGGTAAAGATACTTTAGAGCTTAGGGCATAAAGTAGTCCGTGGGGTGAAAATGAAACTTAACGCAGGAACTTATTCATTTTTCTCGTTAGCTCAGTCGTACATAAAGTACATAAAAAATATGTTGGTTCAAATTTCGTTTCATAAATAATTTCCAATATGACAAACCTGGGGAAAGTCACGCTCTCTATCATAATTAGTCCAGTGATTACAAGGTCGATCGAGGCAGTCAGATAGACACATAAAATAACAGAAAAAGTTAACAGATCCGCAGACCCTCAGACACGGAAATCGATAGAGATTTTGTTGATCCTTAAGGTGGTACGTCACATCCTATAAAGTCATTATAACCTATGCAATATCTATATTCTGATGATAGTATGGACTTGTATGTACTAGTATGAGGCAATAGTTCAGTTTTCGGCCATATTTTCCAAAATTCTCAACAGTTTTTATCTTACATTTTGCCAATTTTACTTCAACATTTGTTCGGAACATCAATGCTAGATGACTGTATTTTCGTATTCAGGATCAATTCAACAATGCTTAGATCTCTACAACAGATTTTTTGAAAGAATTTCGTTCAACTAGTTGCGACACTGTTCTTTGGGTTGTACCTGACTATGTCAAAACATGTGATTCTGGTCATCCTTTCGCGCTGCAAGAGGACAATACGATATTTTCAATAATAAGTGAAAAAATCTTGTAAAACCGTCAAGAAGTGACATCAAACACGCCTACCACTGTTTCGGCCCATTTAGAGAGAAACGATCAACTTCAAAGACGCGCCAACAGGCGAGAGGCCAGGTTTGCTGCCAAACTGCTAGAAACTAATAAAAATTTCCACAAATTTCATAACCACTAACAGTAATCAATGGAGTGCTTAGCAAAACCGCGGAATACCGCGTGACCATGATACTGTTACTTGAGAAGATAACTCACGCGCATGGTATGAGCATCTTTCTCATGCGTGACGTCACTATGTTCAAAATTCCCCAGAGACGAGTACCAAACGGTCAGTTTCATATGGTATTATGTGGCGTGTTTGCACGTATTAGGATTAAGTTCATATCTGGTGTATTTCAAATAAATATATGTGTGAAATATAATTAAAAACAATTGATTAGACATCAACTTCGGTGCAGAGTCAAAAAATTTTATCCGTTACTGTTTAATATCGTTAATGGATTCAGCCAAGTCATCGCCAAGCATCTTTTTGTTTTATGTAAAATATATTTTCAAATCCAAATGTAAAATAGAGCAGCTGACAAAGATAAATCTAAGAAAGGGGTTCAAACTGTTTATTAATACAAAATATTTCTATTAACACTTACTCACAAAAGGTTTAAAAAACACGTTGTTTATATTAATATATAATGATTTATACAATCCTAAAAAGATTATATACTGTTCAATAATTATATTGTTCCCTATTTGTCTTGGTACAAAAAGTAAGTATAACAAATTAATACTCATATGTTGTACTAGTCAACAAAGGTTTTATTTGAAATCAATTTATTCCAATGAAAAAGTAAGTCCCTTTATTTCGAGCACTAAAAGAATTTTTGTTTGAAAAGCTAAAGGCACAATTTCAAGGTCAGCTTTATTATGCTTATGACAAGGGCTTATGCTTACGACTATGACTATGACAAGTTGTATAAACGCGTTCATATGAGATACTTACCTATTTCAATTCTTATGTTTACCTATATATATGTGGTAATGACTTATTAAAATAGTTAGTATAAACCCGTCAGAATTGAAGCGTATTCTGCTATTCAGGTCGTTCAAAATTGTTTATATTTCATTTTTCAAAAATGACAACCTTATGAAGGTAATTTATTACATCTGGTGTAGTAGAAATAAAACAATGTTAAATAAACCATGTAAAAATGTTGAACAAATAGTCCATATATTGAAAATAGAACACTTTATACAATGCATTTCGTCCTCCAAGCGGAATAGTTGTCTCCGACAACGCCGTATGAAATTCAGCCGCGAAGTGGCCCTATCTTCTCAACTAATTGTATTGCATACATCGAACACACAGCACATAAATCTAATGTATGTTGATACTAAGTGCATTAGAAGTATATAAAATCTGTCCACCAGGCTGTCATTCTCCTATTATTTTTGGAAGCTTTGGTACCTTCCCTTGCGAGTGTTTAGAATCGCGTGGTGTTCATTGAATAACAGACATTTTTCATTCGGGAATACAAATACTTGAACTTGAAGGGGTTTTATTTTTGAATATACGTACGTACACAACAGCGCGGCTTGATATATCTACGTGTGTGATTGAAATATGGATTAGCAATAAGTTATTCCTGTACCTACTTGCGATAAATCATTGAATTAGCGGGAACAAGGTCAATAACAGAAACAAGGTTGATCTCAAAAACATGAAATGGAATTCATCAATCCGTTTTCCATGGGCATGTTTCCAATCGCTTGATAAATGTAAATTAGACTGCCATGATTTATGTTTAAAACGATTTGAAGTTATGAAAACTTTTGGACATATTTATGTATCCTTAAATATCAATATCAAATCTAGAAGACTTTAAAATGAGGAAAGAGAGAGGAAATGCCATATAGAAGGATGCTTTCGGAGCATAAGGGTCTGCATCGTGATTAGATAAAGTCAAATAAACACTTTCCACCACTCAATTATCATTTTACGTACCTACATAAAGTTATACTCTGTCGTCCTAGAAGCTAGAAACTATCGTCAGAAATCATTCGAACTGGAAAAAGAATTTGAAATTCTGATACCTACACAAGATCGCAACATGAAAAACCCAAAACAATGGGGTTTTTAAGAGTTCTGAACTAATAACTCAACAATTCACTCCTTCATTCTTATTCACACCATAAAATAGTCCGGTCAACCAATTTTTCTATTATGTTCATAGTTTCTTTTTACTTCCCAAACCAATCGGTAAAAAAATATTTTAACCGCGAAAACTTTCGAAAATGAGGTAAAAGTACCTTGGTTTTTGATAAAAATCTTGCCACCGGGTTACTACTATCCGAGGACAAAAAATTATTGCTTTTTTGTCGATTCTGACGCTTTTGATCATTTTCAGAAAAAAGTTATTGTTGTTAAGGCCCGTATCGTCAGTCGTTCCTACAATTGTAGGACGCCTTTATGGTCTCCTTGATTGTCATAGTTTTCTCCTTTTCCGTGTCAGCGCTCTATTTTGAGGTTATGTCACAAATATCTATTTGCATCAAATGTGCATGGTTTTGAGTTATATCATGCTTTATCAGCCTGAAATTTCCTACAATTTAAAAATAAATATATCTTCACAATAGGAGAGCGCTGACGCTGAGACAGAACAGGTGCAATCTAGAAATTTTTGAAGAAGAGAAAGGAGTATGACAATCAAGGAGGCCATAAAGGCGTGCTACAATTGTAGGAACGACTGACGATACGGGCCTAAAGGTTTGGGTTTGGTTTGCTGGATTAGGCTTGCCAGATGCGGTGTGTTAATTAGTCTTTTTCTACCTTCAATATGATAAACAATATTGATTGTATATCAAAGTTTAAATTAATCAATAAACAAAAGTGCTCAATTTTGGTTACGTTATTTTAATATTATAAAAATAAACGGAAGGCCCTGAGACAGTCACGTAACTTTAAATAATAAGAGCGTTGTTGAATAGTTGAGTATTTGAATAGAAAAATAATTATTTTTATTTCTTCTTTAAAAAGAAGACAAAATATTGTCGGCGGCTAATTGAAATATCTATTGTTTTAACCTTATAGCAAGAGGGAAGTATATCTTAATTGCTTGGTGTTAGTACAATTATTGCTTTCAACTTCTATGCACATATTAGACATAGTTCATACATATAGAATTCCCCTTACATTTGCCTTTAAAAATGATAAACATTTTAAAACACACGCGTTGTACGCACGCAACGGACGTAGGAAGAGATACACTTTTAGGTAGAAAATATAAAGTGAGGAGATAACCATCTTGACGCCATTTTTTTTTTCGGAAGTGGTTTCAGAAAATCGTAAAGAAAAACTACTGTTTGGAACTTGGGTAATACGAAGATGGTTAATTAGGAACATTTTCTACGTATACAACACAAAAAAATGGCGTGAAGTCGGTTGCATCTGCACTTTCCACGCAACGCCCTCATCAGTTCAGAAAGGACAGCACAAGCAAGACCCTGTAAGAAAAAAGTAACGAACTTGTATAATTAAAAAAAAATTAATATGTCTGATAGGTGCATAAAATTACCAATGTTGGGAGCGTATAAAAATACTAACATCATTATGCTTGGCACAAGTTAGCGATTTTTATGTTTTGTTGCTATTGGCGTTGTGTAAAAATATCATCGAAATCCGAGCGGGACTTTTCGACATATAAGCGGTTGTAAGATTAGCGAACAGACCGACACACAGACAGGCAGGGCAACAGAAATGAGTGACATGGTTCTGCATGATGTACATGTCATATGTATAACATCCAAAAAACATCTCATTTTCGAAATACTTCACCGCCACTAAGCAACCTTTACCCTCTTTTTTAACCCTTACAAAGATTCTTCAGAAAATAATCAGAAATCTCTGAAACTCCAAAAAACGATGTTTTAGGAAATTCTGTTTTTTTTTCGTTTTTTACCCCGTAGCTTGACCGCCACTGGACCTTTTTTCAAAAACTACAACCTTTTTTACCTACTTGGCTCAGAAGTAACCTTATGTCGAAATTCCATCCCAATACGACCGGTACTTTCCGAGTTATAGACGTGTGCATTTCTATGGTAAACCTAGTTGATTATCGATACACATATATTGCTCAACAGACATCAAAAATGTAGAAAACGTATTTGCAATATTATTTCTAACATACTATTCCATGTTGCAAATTTACATCTGTGTATGTATGTACCTGTGTAACTGAATTTCGCTAAAGATATGTGAGCATTTAAATTCAATTTAATTGGCTGAAACCTGACTCTCAATCTCAAGAATGTGCATAAATATAGATACGGTTTTCTTCGACTTTGGCTTTTCAGAAACAAATAAGACAAGCGATGAGACATTCAGGTGCCGAAAAAGTTGTGGCAAATATTTCTGCTTATTAAAATGCTTTATGACTGGTATTCTGCTTTCAGGCTTGATGCCTTTTTTATATTCCATGATCATTTGTGACATGATGATTTACATTTCTGTGGTTTGGAAAAAACTTTTATATGTACATTTCTCTTTGTAGGTACTACAGTGCAGAAACTATGTAAAGCTAGTCAGACCTTGATCCCACCGAGAAAAACAGTGAATGTTGCTAGAGGGGAGGTAAGTTAAATTAGTAGATTAATTGATTCAATGAATTATTTTGAAAGTCTATTTGTGTTTGGATGAACTATAACTTGGCAGGACATAATTACATGATCTCTTCTATTTTTACTTGTCAAGCTCAGTTTTTTATGAAACTTTAACCCAAAGCTACTGTTAGTTAAAAAACGAATTTATAGGTTTCACAAATCGATCCAGTGACCGCGGACCTAGGGGCAAAAAAATAAAAAATTTGAAATCACTTAAACTTCGTTGCTTGACGTGTCAAAAAGTTGTGTTATAGGGGGTAAGGGGTTGTAAATGTAAATGTCTCATCTCATCTTTGATATCACCGAAAGGCATCATTCAGAAATTTGTGATTCCGGCAGTACTGTCCACCATTGTTAGGACACAATATTACAGATATTTTGCATAATAATCTTACGTCTAGCGATACCCGCCACCTAAAAATATGCGATATCTTCTACCAGCGAATGGTCCGATCCGAATTCAGCAACGCCAGACCGAAGTCGTCGACGACGTGCGACGGTGTAGCGATGACTAGCGTGTACAAAAGCTGTCCAAACGCTATGCACGATGCAGATACAGTCAGAGCCGGTTATTTAAAAAATATTATATTTACAACAACACACATCACCACCAGCTCTAAGGGCTTCCATGACCGGCCAATAGTAAGATACCAAAAACGAACGAAAGTACACCCCGCATATCCAAAGTCAGAAGTACCGAGTTAATCTGCTTCATGCCATTTTTTAATCTAGAGCAGATGAAGCGAGTATGACAAATTTGTTGAAAAATAAAGATGATAATTCGCTAGGATTCGTGTAGAAAATAACGTACTAAGTTCCTGAAGAAATGACATAAGGGTTGCAAAAATATGATGAATTTATTTTGAGACGTTTACTTGACGCCCTTTTTATTTGGTCACACTGTAGCCGAACAGTTTGCCAAAAGTGATCTAAAAGTTACTATCCCAAAAGATTCTGCAAATGTTGGAACTTATGTATAAGATCAAGTATCACAATAAAAAAGCTTGTGATAAAACAGAACTGGAACAAGATGATTCTCTCACAAATGGTTTATTTTACCGCTATCAAACAAGATTAGGGACATTTTTGCAACTAAAGAAACATACTCAACCCAAACGCTGTGTGAATTTACTTTTTAAAGTAGGTACAAGGATCCTGAGGTTGTAGCGACAACTAGGGATTCATCAAGTCAACTAGCTTGACATTTTTATTAATTACTGACCTTCAAGTAGCTTGATATTTTTATAAACTACTTACTTGACCTTACTTGAAAATATAATTGCTTGAAACGTTAATGCTTGACTTGATTTTTTATTGTTCTACTTAACAAAAAGAAGGTGGTAGACAAGGACCAGTCGACCGAGGCAGTACCACCCGCTAGCTTTTCCCAGGGTGTCTTATAAATGTTCGCATGTTTCCACACCTAAGCTATGCAGTCGGTTATCTACCAAAACAAAGAAATTAATGATGATGGATCCCTCGAGCACTAAAAACTCCGGACTCACTCCACTCTCGGAATGTCCGGGTGGAGGGTGGGCTCGAGGGAACAACATCGAAGATAAAATTTGTTTTTCGAACATCTGCGGGATCAACAGCAACCTTGATGCTGTTCATCACTACCTGCAATCCAATCGTCCCGCCGTGCTTTTCTTGGCGGAGACAAAAATCTCAGAGGCTGCACCGATTAACCATCTCAACTTCCCAAACTACGAGGTGCACTCCAATCTGAGAAAGAACGGGGGAGTTGTGGCTTTTGTCCGCAGCAGTCTTTCCTGCTCCAGGGATCTTTCTTTGGAATCAGACCGGAAGGACATTCTGTGGCTTCGCCTCAACTCCAAAACATCACCCAAATTTATTTGCTGCCTTTATCGCTCTCCCTCGAACCATAACTGGGATGACCTACTCGAATACCTCGCCGTCCAGATCGACTTCCTGAACATCAATCACCCCGCTTCAGAGGTAGTTCTTCTCGGTGATTTCAATGCCCATAATGAGCTTTGGTTGGGCTCAAATAAGACCGATGCAGCAGGTCGTGCAGTCGAAGCGTTCGCTCTTACTCAAAGGCTGACCCAGCTGGTGACGAGCCCTACTTTTTTCCCCCGCGTCTCGTCACACGCCAGTAGCCTGCTGGACCTCTTTCTGACCACGCATCCTGCCCCTTACAGCACTGCCGTCCTGTCCCCCCTGGGTAACTCAGATCACGGTGTTGTGGAGGTTAGGTTTCGGTCAGAAGCCGCTGTGGCCGCAGAAACTCGCACAGGCCGCAAAACTTGGCATTACGGACATGCCGACTGGGAGGGGCTCAGAGACTTCTTCTCTAGCTTTCCTTGGAGAGATGTCTGTTTCACTGACGCGGATGCGTCGACTGTCTGTTCTTCAATAACCGAAATTATCCACGTCGGAATGGAGGAATACATCCCTCACACAGTGAAAGTTCCTAAACCAGGGTCCAACGGCTGGTTCAACAAATCGTGTGACACTGCTCGCCAGCAGAAGATCAAGGCCCACAGAACCTACTTACAAAACCCCACTGTAGAGAACAGACAAGCCGACGTCGAGTCCAGAAACAAATATAACGAAGGGGTTCGCAATGCCAAAACCCAGCATGATATAAAAGTTAGGCACAGGGTAATGTCGCAGCGCAATGGCAGTCGGTCTTTCTGGACGCTGGCCAAGCAGATTGAAAAGAACTTCTCACACAGTAGCCTTCCACCACTTACGTGTCAGGATGGAACTATTGTATTCGACTCAAAGGCCAAGGCGGAAGTGCTAGCCAAGATCTTTGCTGCCAACTCCACCATGGACGTCCCCACCAACGCCCAAGTGCCGTCAATTCAAAGGGTTCCCCACACTATGCGGGAGGTAACATTCAGGCATAAGACCGTAAGACGAGTGCTCTTGTCGCTCGACATCAACAAAGCTTCTGGTCCGGACTTGATTCCTGCCATTGTACTGAAGAGATGTGCAGCTGAGCTTGCTCCAGTTCTTTCGCGTCTCTTCCAGATATCTTATGAATCCGGCACCTTCCCAGAAAACTGGAAATTTGCTCATGTACAGCCCATCCCAAAAAAAGGATCTAAAACCGACCCTTACAACTACAGGCCTATAGCTCTGCTTTCTGTTATAAGTAAAGTGATGGAGAGGTGCATAAATCGCGAGCTTCTGGACTACCTCGAACGTCACAGCTTGATTAGCGACAGGCAGTACGGTTTCCGGCACCAACGATCCACAGGGGACCTCCTAGCTTACATCACGCAACTGTGGAGTAAACTCATCCAGTCTCATGGTGAGGCTCATGTCGTTGCTCTTGACATCACGAAAGCGTTCGATCAGCTGTCGCACGCTGCCCTCTTGAGCAAACTTCCATCCTACGGCCTCCCAGAAAAGCTTTGCAGATGGGTGGCTGACTTTATCTCTGGCCGCAAGATATCCGTCGTAATTGACGGATTCTCCTCTTCATCCCACAACGTCAACGCGGGTGTTCCCCAGGGACCGGTCTTGGCTCCAACACTGTTTCTCTTACATATCAACGACCTCCTTTCCTGCACGATCAACCCAATCCACAGCTTCGCTGATGACAGCACTCTACATGCAGGAATTCAGAGTGACAAGCCGATCTCTGCCACTGAGCTGGAAAAAAGAAGACTAGCGACGACTTCTTCTCTGACAAGAGACCTGGAGGCTATCACTGCTTGGGGACGCAACAATCTTGTACAGTTCAATGCTTCCAAAACACAGTACTGTACTTTGACGAACAAAAAGCGTCCTAGCGCTCATACAGTTTCGATGGACGGTCGAGTCCTACCAAAGAGCCATTCATTTCGGCTGGTCGGAGTCCAGATCACCGAGGACCTGATCTGGCACGAACACATCTCTTCAATAGCTGCAGCTGCTGGGAAAAAGCTAGGCTATTTGTTTAGGGCTAAGAAGTACTTTTCTCCGCATGACCTTCTCACTCTATACAAGGCCCAGATAAGGCCTAGCCTCGAGTATTGCTCACACATTTGGGGTGCTGCCGCCCCGACTACATTGTCCATGCTCGATGCTGTCCAGAGGAGGGCGGTCCGACTGATCGATGACTCTTCTCTAACAGACAGTCTCGGGACTCTTTCGCACCGGCGGGCCGTCGGCGATCTAGCTCTTTTCTATCGCTACACCAACGGGCTTTGCTCCTCAGAGCTCTCTTCCATGATGCCGCCGCGCGATGTGCCTGCCAGACAGACCCGCCTGACTTCGGCGTCCCATCCTAACCGTGTCAAACTTCGTACATCCAGAACTGGCCGATACGACCGCTCCTTTTTCCCGAGGGTGTGGAACAAACTACGGGAGGAAGCTTTTCCCAGTTCTACTAACCTTAGGCAGTTCAAAAATCGTATTAACAAAATTTCTTTGGGATCATCATAGCAGCCGCGGTGTTCCGGCATTTAGGCTTCTGCCTGCGCGGCTGTTTCGATATAAAAAAAAAAAACTTGTTGCATACTCAAACTACTGGATACTCGATGGCAAATTATATTTTCGTTCTACTACAGACCGGTGATATTTATTCGTATAATTGATGAGTCATATGTACACACATATATATATATATATATATATATATAAAAATAAATTAAAATTAAACTTCATTAAAAAAACAACCTAGCTACCAATTTTTTTTTATTCTTACAAAAACAAAATATAATAATCATATACAGGGTGATTCACAAGTCGTGACCAAAAATGAAACATCATACACAAGACCGCATTTTAAGGGGGGTATTATATGTAACATTTTTCCCTCGAGGGCTTCGTTGAAAAGATACGGTGTTGAAGTTTAAAAATAAAAATTTTTTTAACATCTTCTAAACCGTCAACTGGAATGAACTAAAATTTATTATGTGTATTTACCTAAGTATTGTCCACATTCAAGGTCTACTTGAAATTAACGTGCACCACTGGCGGAGTTACAGCGATTAGCGATATTATTTTTCCACGCCACTGTTTTTTTCAAAACGCGCAATTTTACAAATCTTACCTTCATTTTGCTACAAATGATTACGTTTGTGTTTTTTCCCTAAAGTGCATTGTTTTCGTAAAAATAGAAAAAAACAAATTAGGTAATCAAAGCTTTATTTCAATGAATGTTCACAAAGACCACCATTCTGACAAATTTGTTGTGGCTTTAATTTGATGAAACGCATTATCTATTCTTTCTTGTAACTGATCAACAGTATTGATTTTGTTCAGCATACACTAGTTGTTTAAAAACGCGCTACAAAAAGAAATCCAAGGGGTTCAAATCAGGAGACCTCGCAGGCCAATGTACGGGTCCTTTTCTGCCAATCCATCGTTGTCTAGAATGATTACATATTTAACCATGCGGTTATGTCACGACGAACATGCGGTGGGGCTGACACTACAGTCGTACTCTCGTTGCTAACGAAACATTATCTAACACATTTTCTATGTAATCCCCTAGAAAAGCCAAGACCATTCAAAATGCCGCACCAGACATTTCTAGAAAATCTGTGTTGAAACGAGTGGACTCTTACAGAACGGTGATTTTCTAACAACCATATATGTTCATTATGAGAATTCAAGGTTCCACTCCTCGTAAAAAGCTATTCATCTGTCCACAAAACCAAATTAATAAAATCTGCATTTTGATTGTGCATTTACAGTAACCACTCGTCGCCGGGTTGTAGACATTGCACATTTTGCCGATGGTAAAGATGTAAGACTTCCCGATTTAAAATTCTCCACGCAGGACTTTGGGAACTTGGTAACTGGGCTGCAATCCGGCTAGTACTTGTACTAGGATCATCCAACGCCAAATTAATCACTTCCAGTTTAGTATGCCGGATACCATGGAAAAAAATAAACATTTGACTTGACTTTTACAAAAAAAAAAAAAAATGGTAGTAGCACGTTAACAACCGTATAACACGTAACTTTGACAACTATCTCCCAAGAAACGTCTAGTTGGTATCAAGGCTTCCTACCTGTATTTTATTTTGAAACTAATTGTATCTCGGCTCTTCATGGACGATCTAATTTGTTTAATTTTTATTTTTACGAAAACAGTGCACTCTAGGAAAAAACACAAGAGTAATTATCTGTAGTAAATTGAAGATGACATTCGGAAAATTGCGCGTTTCGAAAAAAAAAATAGTGGCGTACTATTTTTATTGAGAAAAATAATGCCACTAATCCCTTGTATCACGGCCACTGGTGCACGTTTATTTTGACTTTTGAATGTGGACAATACTTAGGTAAATCCACATACCAAATTTTGAAGCTATTAAACATTTTTTTTTATTTTTGAACTTCAACACTCCGTATCTTTTTAATAAGCCCTCGAAGAAAAATATTAGGTGTATGATGTTTCATCTTTGGTCACGACTTGTGAATCACCCGGTGTCTTTAGCTATTATTTCATTTTGTATCGCCGGCACAACTCAAAAATAGGCATTATCTTATAGGAGGGTGGTTCAAAATCCAGCCCGTTGCCACTTCTATTGTTTTTAAGTCATTTAATATATTCAGAAACTATCAAGTATACATTAAGACTACTTGAATTTTCAAACAATTGACAGACAAACGTAAGAAGTACTTGACTTGCTATTAGATTGGTAATAGTTAACTTGATTTCAAGCCAAGTAGCTTGAAAATCAAGTCAAGTCATGAAACCACAATGCAAAGAAATTCAGGCTAGAAAGAAAATGTTTATTGTTCATGTCAATTTTCCGAAAATAGCTTATTTTCTTTATCATGATGCATTACGAATTTAATAACATAGCGAGACAATTTAAATGCATTACAATATCATTAGATAATTGTAATTAAATTTACAGAAAGAGAGTCCTAGCATTGTGTTTTTTCAGATACAGCCCCAGGTGTATCCGCCACCTCCTGGTGGCTCTAACAATCTTCTGGTGGATGTCAGCGTTGGCTAGATTCGAAGAAATCACTGATTTCATCAGCATCAACACACTGCCAGATGGAGAAGTGGAAACCAGAATATATTACAAAGGAGTGGTGGCCAAGGAAACCACCACAGCCAAAAAGTAAGTTTAGCATATATCTGTTATTGCTTCAACAATTTTTGGGAAAATTCAAAATGTATGGCAAACTCGTAGCATTCTTTTGATTGGAACAGGAAGAATTGGATTTATAGAATGGGAACCGCTGCACTATGGATCATTTTTGTCAGTTTGATCAGTCTGAAAGAATACAGCTATGGATGTGTTCGAAGTCAGCCTACTTGGCTTCATTTGCTGCTGTTTTTTTTTTTGGTGAGGGGGGAATGCGTTTACGCACCATACCATAGCCCGAGCTCCGGCGTGTGTGGGACTCCAGGTTGTCTTGAGGAGACCACCTAATACCCACTAAACCCTAACCTCCGCGTGGCCCGACTCATCAGCGTCTCGGTAGGCCATGTGTTGTGCGTGACCTGCGGTCTGCTACAACGTCTCCTCATGTGTTTCAGTCTCTGGGAACGCCGGGTTGGTTCCCTTTACCTCGCACATTCTATCGATGTCGTTAAGCGATCATCGATAGAGGGTCTGCTAGGTTCTCTTGAAACTCTTGTTTTCGAAAAATCAAGAGTTTCAAGTCCTCTTACCAATATGTTGTTCCTGGTCCTGGTCCTGAAGGGTCCTGGTCCTGGTGGGTCCTGCTCGTGGCGGGTCCTGGTCCTGTCGGGTCCTGGTCCTGGTGGGTCTTGGTCCCGGTGGGTCCTGGTCCCGGTGGTTCCTGGTCCTCTGCATCCACGCCGTGGGGGGGGGGGGGGCAACCGCGGGTTCTCCTAGTCTCCTAGTCAAGGTTCCAATTAGCGGGTGCCAACTGGGACCTTGGTCTAGGGTACCTGGTTCTGCGGTTGCGAGGCCTCTCGTCCGGATCGTAGTCCATGAGGAATCGTAGCTGCTCGGGTGGTCCTGAGCTTTCTCGAAGGTCTTCTCCGCTTTTTTCCTCATGTACTCGTGAATGGTGTCCCAATGCAGGTCTCTACGCAAGGTTGAGTTTCTTACGTAGGATGGTGCACTGGTGGCGATCCGGAGTAGCTTCATCTCTAGAGCAGCAAGTCGCTTGCGGTAGCTGGGGGCAGCGTACCCCCAGACCGCGGAGGCGTAAGCGAGCTGAGGTCTGGCGATGGCCTTGATCAGCCGTAGCTTGGTCGCTAGCGGCATCCGGCTGTGTCTACCCAGTAATGGGTAGAGTTGAGCCATGGCTGCTCTGGTCTTTGCGATGACAGCTTCTATTTGGGCTTTCCAGGTGAGGGACTTGTCAAATACGATCCCCAGATATTTGACTTTGTCGCTCCACTGGATATCTTCGTCGAAGATGGATGCTTCGAGAGGTCTTGCAATCCTTCTTTTCCATTTCACGCACCAGTCCTGGATGTGGTCCAGTTCATCCTGTAGTCTCCTACGGATGATCTCGGGTCGTCTATGCTTGGCGGCTATAGCAGTGTCGTCTGCATATAGGGCCAGCATTGTGTCAGCTGTCTTCGGCACATCGTGAGTATAGATGTTGTAGAGCAGGGGGGCTAAGGCTGACCCCTGGGGCACGCCTGCTTCCAGCTGTCGTCTTGTTGAATGGCATGTACCAATCTTCACCGTGAACCATCTTTGTGTTAGATAGCTCTGGATCAGTTGGCACATGTTCGCATCGATTCCGGCGGCTTCCATTTTGGTGCTGCTGTTTTAAGTAAACGTAAATATATATACATGCCCATTGTGCACTTCAAATAAAAAAGCGAGCTTTTCAGGTCGACATGCTGTCTCTTCTCATTTATATGAATAAGTTAAGTACTTAATGCTCTTCTGACAACTGACGAGATGCAATATTTCAGAGAGTTGTTTCAAGAGCCAACTCAGTATCTCCTAACGTATATAACCTACTAATATCATTGTTTTTATGATCTCTAAGTAAGATTATTTGCGTTATCCTGTACAGAAGCGAGCACTTACCTAATTTTTGTGAATTTGTCGACTCTTGGTAATGATCAAAAACAGAATATCGGCTTCTAAGCTTTTTAATAGTCTGGGGAGTTATTATACCTTTTTTGGAGGCTTTAGAACCTCGGAACTTAATTTTGATTTTTTGACGTGCCTATTTAGCTAGTGTCACCTGCATACACATGCCTAGGACCTTTCGAGGTCCACCGACCTTAAATCTGAAAATTGCACGATAAAACTAAGGCTCCTTCCATTAAAATACATATTGCTCTACATCTAGAGCAAAAAATTCTAACTTTTGATTGAAAATATAAGACAATCTACTTGGCACCGTCGTCACTTTCTACGCCATTGGGCAAGGAAGTATTGTAATCTCGAAAAATTTTGAAAATTCGATGTTCTGTGTTTTAGATGTTATGTAACATGTACATCACAAAAAAATCATACCTATCACTCATTTCAGTCTATCCGTCTTCCCGTCTGTCCGGTAATCGTTGGCCCCTCTATTACTTAGACAGTACTACTCGGATTTGGATGGAATTTTTACACAGAGGTACTACTACGTCAACGCTTTATAGTACTTGGAAATCGGTCCAGTGGTGGTGGAGACGAAGCACAAAAACGAAAAAAATAAAAATCACACAAACGTCGTTTTTGACGTTTTAGAAGATCCTGATATTTTTTTAAAAATATTTAGGAATAAAAGAATAGGGAGTGGGGGTTGTAGGGCGCGGGGGGAGTATAACTCAACCTGATGATGTTAGCATATTTGTACCATCCCCACACCGATAATTCTACGCAGCTGTTAGCCATATCCATACATTTGCTTTTAAATATTAGAATGATAGATAAATGTTTCGGATCGCGTCTCGTTCTGCTATCTGGGATCAGCGCCCGGCGTAACGGTCTGCTTGATTGTTCTGTTCTCACTGACGATATGGAAAGTAGCAATGTTCCCAGATGGATGGCAACTAAGAATGTCTATGGGCCATTTGTATAGGCCTGTTTGACTGATTTGATTCATGTAATTTTTCCTCAGAAGGTTCAACTTGTGCTGAACTCAATCCTTTATGCACCGATGGCGGCATTGCGTAGGAAGTGCAGAGTCAACCCAGATGAAGCCATTTTCTGTTCTCAGCAAATTTAACTGCGTAACCGCATGTAATGACATAAATTTGTTGAAGGTTTCGGCGAAATTTGGTAATACAGATACTGTAAAAGCTATGGATGGGTGAAGTTTCCTTTTACTTTTTACGCTACTGGCTGTAATTGCGAACAAGTGTAATTTAATGAGATTACTTGTTTTCGTGACGTAATATTATATAGCATGGTATAGTATATAGGTACGTAACAAGAGCTATTATAATCAGTGATGAGGTTATCGTGTACGGACATGCTCATTGCTGCAATCTGCGGAATATTTTTTCATAAAAACCCCAAATAGTGACAAAGCCATTGCACTACATGGAAAATCGTACTAGTTGTTTCGAAAAGTGGGAGTCAATCTGCTTGACGCCAGTTTGTCGAGCATATGCTTAAAAAATGCGTGAGAGGTACCAAGTCAATATAGTTAACTCCATTTCAACATTTTATCAGCAAATTAAACATTAATGCCAAAATTAGTCTTTTTAAAAATTTATAAGCATCTCCTGTGGAATTGCTTGGAGGCTTTTACCACGGACCGTAACCTAGATTTTTCAAATAGGTATTTGTAAATAACAAGCAAATCACCGCCTGCAGCAAATAGATGTCTGCAGAAAACCAGGCACATATTCGTGACGTGCAGGAAATTATCCAATTTGGGTGGTCGGTAAGTGCCCATACTGTAAAGTGAACTAAGGTCACCGACAGTACTTTTATTTTCCGCTGATTAGAAACTGATAGCCCAAAATCTGTCGTTCAAAACTCGTTCAACAGGTATCGCGAGATTTTCATTAGTACGCTTTACCTACCGATTTCCATTTTCTATTTATAGTCTGTAATTACGTTCATTATTTATTGGCGCCAGTATGCATTTGAAAGAGATGATAAAAAGTATGTGATTAGTCTGTATTTTTGTTACTCGTGCAAAGAACATTGAGTTGCAATAAATGGATTGAGACGAGCAGGAATATAGGTGTACTCAGCCCCTTGCACTATTACATTTTCTTATTTCTAAAAGATGCAGATGCTGGCTCTCTGCATTTAGCAATACTCTACTCACCATTATAAAATGCTACAATCGTGGTGGAAATAGGGCTGAACGATGGAGATCTCAGCTGCAGGCAATGCAGAAAAGGAACAGAATCAGCCCTATATGTCTTATGTGAGTGCGAAGTGCCGGATCACAGAAGAAACCCTTCGGAAAATCAAAAGTTGAACCGAGGGAATTTAGAGCAGTACCAACAGGAAAATTGTACTAACTGTTCCAGAACACTAGACTGCTGGATTGGGTACTGTAAACACGAGGAGCAAGGCACAATAAGCCCTAGAGGCTGCAATGCCATCGGGAATGGCTCCCGTATTATTAAATATTTATTATTATTATTATCCTTAATCCGATGAACCTATCTTCGGTGTAGAATTCAAGTCCAGATCTCTGCCTAAGATCAAAACAACTTACCACTTTGCGAAGAAAATGCGCGTTGCCACAAAGGACTATTTTCTGAATTAATTCCATTGATGGATTCCCTGGTATCGATTGTAGATTCTGGTCAAGATTTTGTTTGATTGTTCCCAGAGCGTCTACTATAACCGATGTTTTGCTCGTCTCAACGTTCCACATTCTGCTAACTTTCAGTTCCAGTTCCATCTTTGTATTTGATAGCTTTTCTCAGCTTCTCTCATTTGAATGACGGGGTCGTCGGGTACTGAGATCTCGATCAATTGACGTGTCCTACTTTTTCTATCATGCACTACGATGACAGGTCGATTAGCATTTATTTGCCGGTCTGTAATGATATGAACTTTCCACAGAATTATAACATCTGTCTCTGTATTCTTCACGTCGGTTACTGCTTCTGGAACATGATTGTAATATTTATCGGTAACTTCCATTCCGTATGCCTTGCAAATGTTCCAGTGAATATTACTTGCTACGTTATTGTGCCTTTTCAAGTGTTCAGTGGCCGCTTACCTTGAACATCCTGCGATGATATGCTGTCTATATTCCTTTGCAGTATTTTCTTTTGCCGATACCTAGTCCTTAACGCTTGGTTTTGCGCTGCTAAAATCAGACTCTCCGTTTCTCCCTCAAGTCCTGAGCTTCACAACCACTCTACGCTGCCTCTAAGTCTATTTATTGTTATCTTTATTATTACTGAATAACCAACACGGTCGGAGAATGTGTCTGATGACAAGAAGGATTCGATCCATGAAAGCAAATTATCTTTGATTCCAAGATGTTCAAGCTTATGTACGTGTCTTGGAGTACATCCACAGGTTCATTTGCATCTAAGGATCTGGTCCAATTATCAAGATGTTGGTTATTATAGATTTTCCGTAGGCGACGTATAACTGTGGAGTCAAGGTGGCGGTCAAGTACAGGATAGTCACTTGACCGTAAAATGTACCCAGATATTTAATCTTTTGAATGAGAGATAAAGCTAGAGCTTGAACGCTTGGGGGGTTGAAATCTTCTTTTGCTGAAGAGGACTAGCTCAGTCTTAGATGGACTGAGAGTCCTGTTTCCTTATACCACTCCCCTAGAATGTGGCATTTTTTAGCATACAATTTTTCCTGATATACATATTCCGCCAAGCTCTGCCAATGCAGCAATATCCGCTTGAAATACGTATATTTATACAAATTGTTTGTCGAGAATATTGAATTGTATTAGGCTTAAGCATAAATACATCGACACAGGATGAAACCTTGTCAGGATCTGCGGGATGGCTTTATTTTTAATAGGTTGTGGTTGAATTCCAGCAAATTGGGCTAAGGCATTCTTTACGGAGGTATGATGAACAGTTGAACTCAAGACGTTGCTCTAGTCTTGATAAATATATATCATATATTGCGAGAGTAAAAACAACAAGTCGTCAGTTCGCATTTGACAGTCGGGTGACCACTGTGATCGCTACGTGCCCTTGATTCTGGTGATCTGGTACATACGGTCTACTCGCCATTGAACAAACTAGTGATATAGTATCAGAATCGTCGACATCTAGCGGCCACTGTGGTGACCCGGCAGTCAAATGCGAACTGGAATACAGTTCCAATAGGCAGATTGCTGTTTTCACTCTCGCCGATTCTGGTAATAGATGTCACTTTGTACTGTCTTACATCTACAGACCTTATAACTTAGTTGCTCAGCTTTTATTTATTGTCCTACCTGATACCAAACCTAGACCATGCTAATAAGTTTCCCAATAGCACGAAACAGCCATCCGTGAGGGTCTGACTGTGGTAGGATGAGCGAACTCTACTAGTTTATATAGATACTTGTCCAGCGGTTATTAACACTTGCATAAAACTTGTTCATGCAACCGTACAGAATGTTTAAGTATTAACGGACTAATGAGGATAGACAAACCTTGGTAACAATTTCCATACATAATGGGGATTAGCTACTTTTGATAATTTTTTAGTGCCTTACTGAATAAAAGTTTGTATTGCAGTTTAACAATAAAAATCCCCTCTGATTTTGAGCGAAAATTGAGTATTCCAACCATTGAAAGCTGCTTGGTGCTATTTGACAACTCATCAGTATGATGTAGGCTTGGTCTCAGGTGGGAGAACGAACGTCGATTTTGGTAATAGATGGCATTTTGTGCTATCTTATTTTTATTGCTAAGCCTCATTACAAGCCGCTGAGTAATTCGATCCAATCTGAAATAATTTCTTTGAATATTCGTGATTGCAGCAAGCACCACATATACTGAGACAGTGTGATGATAAAACTGACCATAATATTTGGAGTTTCATTAAGAAACTAAAATGTATTGTTCATTACCAGATGTCTGATAAAAAATCATTTAATAAAAAAGTAAACAAATATTTCTGGGTAATTGATTATTTTCTATTAAGCCTCTACCCTATTTATTGTTATAAAAGTATACATCCGCAGTTCCATCGTAAACCAATTATTTCTGGAGTTATAATCAACCATATGAGCATACGAAAGACAAGGGCTTAAGGGAGACAAACGTTCTGATTTTTTCATACGTATCTATTTGTGGATAATACGTTTTATGAAAAAATCGCAGTTCGAAGGAAACTTTTTCATTTTTTGAGATGTGAACAAGTATGACAGATAAGGAGTTCTTGGAGTTTACCATTTTTGTAGTTAAAAACCATGTTGTGAAAAATGTTTAATTTTCTGTTGTCCTTTTTTCAGGAAATTAAACATCTCATACTTGAAAAAATGAAACACTTTCTTTATCGTATTTGCAATTTTCTTGTTTAAAGGCCGTTTGCCACGATATTAATTTTTTTGCTAAATTTAGTACAAAATTAAGAATAGTGTAATACAGCATTTAGTAGATAATTTTGTATGTTCAAATTGAGTGCTGAATTTTTTAGAACCTGTTCTAAATAATATCATGCTAAAAGTGCGCAGATGCCTACTGCGCATTTGGCAATGGCTGAAAGAAGTGCTAGGTGATAAGGAATTACATGTTTTGTGATAGCTCCTTGATATTTCCTTGATGTTTTGTGATGAGATGATAATTGGTCGACAAATACCAGTCTAACTTCAAGCACTTTCATCAGATGTTGTGATCAGTTGTGTTCATCAGTGTCACGAGATTCCTCTGCTTATGATGTACGCTGTTCTAGTTGTAGACTGAAAGACCTCATGGTCAAAAGAGCAGAGTGACATACTACTATGAGTATGAGAAACATAATTGTTTATGAGCTGTAAAGAACAAAGACCTATAAAAACAGAAACGCCAAATAAGCTACATTGGATAAAATCAGAATGACTTTAGAACCAACTATGTAGGTCTATAAGCCAGTGGATCCTCCACTAGAAGTTCTTTATTCATCATATGGAGCACACGCATGCCCCTGTTCCTCTCCCTGATCCAAATTCCACACCAAATTCTTTTACGGTTTCGTTTACTTCATTTTTTCATAAGGTGGGCGGCTACAACGCAGATCGCTGGTCCCGCAGTCGCATATACAAATATATTATGCGAGTTACGAGATCGCTCCATTTTTTACAATTTTCTTCTCGTTTAAAGTAATAAAGTAGTAAGCCGCAACGAAAAGTGTAGATAGTATGACTTCGAAGTGATAAACGGCAGTTCGAATTTGATAGTTATAGCTTTTTCTACCGACTGCGCATGATTTCGTACGAAATTTATTACAAAAATTTCATTACGTGACAGTCAGGATTGTAACTGGTAAACAAATTGGGAACTAAATTCAGTGACGCATTTTTTTTCAGGAATTATGAACAAAACTTTGTATCGAACAGATGGCTTTAACCCTCGCCAAACAGATGAATGAATGAATGAATCTTGAAATTACAGGCATTCCGGCCACCATAAGAAGCCAGTGCATAGGCCGCTTAAGCGGGCCTTTATGCACCTACATTCCTTATATCCAAGCTCCTTGACGTACTGAGAGCCCAAAGTAATGGACCCCGGTATGGTCTGCCTATAGTAGCTCAGAGCTTCACAGCGACACAAAACGTACACCGTGGTCTCTTCCTCTACCCCACAGCGTTCACACAAGGGATCCTCAGCCACGCCCATCACGTGCAGGTGGCGCCTTAACGTGTTATGGCCAGACAACAGTCCCACCAGCAACCTTAGGTTGGCTCTATCCAGAGATAGGCAGAAACGTCCATCCTTAGCACTGGGCCCTTCAATGAGTTCCCGTGCCTGGCGGAGGTTTCTGGAGATACTTTTCCATTTTTGAGACTGTTATGTTGCAACCCTCGGCTCGATTTTCCTCCTAGCTCCATGCGCGGTCACTCCTAGAGCTGGGTCAGGACCAACGAGCTTGCTGACTGACCTGTCTTTGCCAGAGTGTCCGCCGTCTCATTGCCCCTTATCCCAGCGTGCCCCGGTACCCATACTAACGATACTGGATGCCTCGCTGCGAGTCAATCCAGAGCCCCTCTGCATTGCAATACAAGACTCGAAGTAATTTTACAGACACTTAGTGCCTTCATTGCAGCCTGGCTGTCGGATAAGATTGTTATTCTTCTCCTAGGCCCACCCTCCTCCAAAATGTGAGATACACATGCCAGAATCGCAAAGATTTCCGCCTGGAAAATAGTGGTGTATCCACCGAGAGGCAGCGATAGCCTAGTTTTAGGCCCAGAGACCCCAAACAGATAAGACTTTTTAGAACTGCGATTTTTGTATACATAAAATATATTTTTCCTGCAAAGCATTTGTCTCTCTTATTTTCTGTACCGCCATTTTTTTGTTTATATATCAAAAACGAATGAGTTACGATCACATTACGAATGTTTGTTTACATACTAATAAATAAATACAGCATTTTTAAAATATTCAATAGTTGCACACACACAACTTAAAATTGATGACAACACACCCTTACTATTTACTAACCATGAGATTATATTTTATTTGAGCTTATCGAGTCCCATAAAATTTTATGCCTTCCAGTAACATTTCTCTTAAGAACGTAATTCACGATAACGAGCAATCAGTCGCAAATAAATCATACAAAATGTAATAATAATTTGTATGACGGAAGTATTAAGATTGATAAAACAACATTAACAATATTCGGTTTTTTAATAAAATAAATCAATGAGTCCCAATAACCTCTAACAGATAGCATTCATTAATAACATTCCTTCGACAAACATGTAAACATATCTGAATAGTTACATAACGATTTTTATAACGCAAATATTTATACCAGACTGGCGCTTTGAAGCAATGAATGAACAAATAAACTTCAAAACGAGCTTTTCTCGTAAAAATGAGAAGTGCTCTATATAAGTCTAGTTATGTAGGTGTTAACACCAATAGAGATTCTGGGCTGTACGCTCTACCGAACTAATTTTAGAATCATGGCATAGTTAATATGTATAATGGTTTGTTAATTTTCATGTGTATTAGAGAGGTCAGGTTTCTCCATGAAGCTACTTTCTTGTATCAAAATTAAAAAGTGGTATAATATCTAATAAGAGGTATAATAACATATCGAATAAGAGGTAGTTTATTTTAAGAGGGACAGGACGTGTTAGTTCAAAACTAATTTTGCGACATTTCTGAATAAAGGGTGGTCATGGGCAGATATCTGCGAAATGTTGGGAAATCTCGAAACTGGAGATACTACAAAATACACTACAAAATATGTGAATTGACCTAAACATACCTCAGTTCACAAGTTGATAGTTTGCGAGATACAGGGTGTCAAAGTTACAATTTTATTTACCTATTTTTTCTTATTGCTTGAGAATTATTACAGATTTTGGCATAAAACTCGGTATAGGGAGGTTTTCTAGTATGAGAAACAAGAATCCGTTATTTTTAATGGCCAAACTTCTATAGGGCACCACTTACAGCACTATTTCGGTAAATAACTTATCATAACTTTTTTGTGCTACCCTCTATACAACAACTAACCGAAAAATCTTATTTTCTCGTATACTAAAATCTGAAATACTTCTCAAGCAATAAGGAAAAATGAAAATAAAATTGTAACTTTCGCTCGAAAACTATCAACGTTTGGAGTAAGGTATGTTTAGGTCAATTCACATATTTTAGTCTGTAGTATCTCCAGTTTCGAGATTTCCCAACTTTTCGCAGACACCCTGTATACATATAATGCGAAAATATACTGGTCCATTAGTCACGAAATCTAGAAAACTATTTAAGCTATAATATATCAACATTAAATTTCTCAGCGAGGTAGTTTGTGCATAAAACATATCAGATAAGAACGTATTTTAAAACTTGGTGGCTAGGGGCAGACGTGTATGAAAGAAAGGTGATAGACATTAATCATGACATCTCGAAAACCGTATGAAGATGAAATTTGCTAGGATGATATCTAATGGATTAGATATGTCAATTAGGAACGGATTTCACAACAGGGCCAGATTAAGGGAGCTAAGGACAAATATATATAAAAGCGAAAGGATGCCCATTAATCACGAAGTCTCAGAAACTAACCTACTCGTATAAACATGACATTTGGTAGATATGTAGGAGTTCATGGAGAAGGAATGTTAGTTAAAAACGGATTTTGCAACAGGGGGCGAAGGGTAGAAGCGAAGAGATACACATTAATCATGGTATCTCGGAAACTACGAGGGATGTCTTTTAAGTTTTGCATATGGAAATAAAAAAACACGGCAGGTAGTTTTAAACTTTATTGTTTTTTGAAGTATTCTCCACGAAGATTAATATACATATGCATGCGTCTGAACCAATTTTCGAAGCACTTATTCCACTCGTTTGCTGGCAGATCCAAAACGGCATTTTTGAATGCGTCAACTGCTTCTTCTGGTGACTGGAACCTTTGACGACGCAGTCTGTTTTTAATTTTCTGGAAAGTAAAGAAATCGTTAGGACTTAGATCGGGACTGTATGGAGGATGGTCCAATAATTCCACGTTTTCTTTCGTTAAATACTGCCTTGTTTTTTGGACTGTGTGCGAGCTTGCATTGTCTTGGTGGAGGATGATTCTTCTTTCGGGGTTGATTTTTCGAAGCTCGGTGATGACTTTTGGCAAACAAATGGTGGTATACCAATCCGCAGTAACAGTTCATTGCTCATTAAGAGGAATTATTGCAATATGACTCGCTTTTGACACAAATGTCGCGACCATCTTTTTCGAAACTCTTCGAGAACGGATGACTTTTGTTGGCTTTTCTTCACCTTGGAACACCTAAACAGCCGACTGTCGTTTATTTTCTGGTTCATAACAGTAAATCCACGATTCATCACCACTAACAATGCTGTACACATTTTTTAAAATTCCGGAATTGAAACGGTCAAGTGTTTTTTGACACCAATTAACCCTGGCTGCTTTCTGCTCTTCAGTCAACAGGTAGGGTATCCAACGAGAAACTAATTTTCTTACTCCTAATTCTTCATGTAAATTTTTTTGAATGGAGGTCTTTGAGATCTTCAAGGACGCCTCAATCTCGCGATATGTCACATGTCTATCTTCAATGATGAGTTTGCGCACAGCATCGACGTTTCCCTGGGTGACTGCCGTTTTTGGTGCACCCACCCTGGGATCGTCGCTAAGACTCACCCGTCCACGTTTGAATTGTCCATACCAATGGGAAATTGTCGACTGATGTGGCGCTTCGTTGCCGAAAACAGACAGTAATTCAGCAAGGCATTCTTGTTACGATAATTGTCTCTGAAAGTTGTAATAAATTATGGCGCAAAAATGTTCTCGGTTGAGTTCCATTTTTCTAATGACTTGGTGGCACTTAAAAATTCACTGTAATGAGAACACGTATTGTAGTGAATCTTTGAATTTAAGTTTACTAACGAGTGAGGTTAAGACTCAGTACTGACATTCGATCCTCGCTGCCTATGTTTCTATATGCAAAACTTAAAAGACATCGCTCGTATTTGACATACAAACATGAATTTTGACATCGAGGTAGCCTATGGAAAGGGCATTTCAACTAAGAACGGATTTTGTGACAGGGTCGGATTGAGGCATTAAATAGGGCTTGCAAGTTGGTTTTAGATTGCCTGGAGTTTTCTAATATCTAAAAATGAGCAACGACGAGGTTCTGTTTACATTAGACTTAAACTAAGAATGGTTTGTGTAACCGGAAATTTGGCGGATAAGTAACTATTACAATATAAAATTTAGTTTGATTTGAAATGTTTGTATCAAAAATTGATAATATTACTAATTTGTTAGCTTTCCGCCCCGTGGTTTTACCCCCCGCAGCATAAAATAACGAAATTTCCCAGACATGAAAGTTAACTGTCTAACAATGTTATATATCCAAGCTAAAATTTCGACTGTCAACTTTTGTTCCTGAACAAATTTAGTCCCGAAAGTTTTTCATGTGCATATTTTCAAGTTTTAGCGGCATGGTAAATTCATTTTTCCCTTATTATAAAAAAAAACTAATTTCATAGAACTATCTATTTTGCACCCTCCTCGTAACCAGAAATTCTGTGTCTAACAATGAATTTACTGGCAACAAAATATTTGGAACATATTTTTTCAAACATATACGAGGGCTGATCTCAAGTAACTTTAAAAAGATAAAATATAAATTTAATATTATGTATGTTCTTGAAATTACCGCAAAAATCATTAAATAAATGACAACTTGTAAAACGAAGATAAGCAATATATTACTGAAGCATGTTAGGTTCAAATGCTTTATTACCTTATTTCAGCTGATGCCAGTTATTTATCGTATGTTCAGGTAATTGTGTCCCTTCGAAATTGTAATATTACTACTAACCAAAATACAAGAACTCTTATTTCAAATTATAAACCTTGAACTTCATATGTCAAACATCACGCCAGCCATGCCAAATAGCACGAAACAGCTGTCCATGGTTAGCCGTCTGTGGAAGGACGAACGAAAGCTATATTACTATAGCACCAAAATCGGCGGCATTTATCGGCCACAGTGGTCACTCGGCTGACAATCAGAACTGTGTTGCACTTCCAACAGACAGCTTGCTGTTTTTACTTTCGCAGTGGTTGATGCAGGTACTAGATGGCACTTTTATTCCGATAAACCTTATACTCTGGATAGAGTAGAGTTAGTCAGCTTATCGTCATTGTCCGCCCAGACCAAGCCTAGACCATGCTAAGGAGTTGCCAAATAGCGCGAAACATCGGCCCATGGTTGGCCGTCTGTGATCGGACGAACTAAAACTGTATTACAAGTTTAATTGGTGCGGTTCCAATTCTGCACTTTAACTAGCATACCTATAGCCACAGGTCTTCGTGGCGGCTCAAGTATACAAACATCTAATTTTACCACACTACTTATCATCGTATATCCTTACATCGCTGTCGGTTCTTTTATTTAACTTGGAACAAAGGGACTGCCCAACCAACATGTCACTTATACGGTACCGTGGGCTGTTCCTTCTCTGATGCACCTGAAATATACCACAAATGCCTGTGGTTTTCTGAATGACCGAGTCAAAGGGTATAGGGGACAGTTGTATCTTGTATCGCTTTTCTCACTAATACGGTTGAAGCGTTTTGATGACACGACTATAGTGTTTCTTAGCTTTTTATGCTCTGAGGAACCTTCAATCATCATTGACAACCGATGGAAAATCAGATCAGATTTTTACTTCCCACGCCTACGGGCGAGGAAATAATGTAATCGCGAATAATTTCGAAAACGAGATATTATTTTTTTTGTATATTATACACCTATAGTAATATTAATAATAATATTAATAATGATATTAATAATAATATTAATAATAATATTAATAATAATAATAATCCGGCTTTATATGTACAAAGTATGAAAAGGCGGTGTCGCTAAAAAAGCATTTTCCAACTTAACCCAACAAATATAAAGTTTCTAATCGTAATGACTATAAGTCGTGTACACGACGAAAAACCATGTCTCGAATTTCTCTCGGTCTCTGTCTGCTAATCCTTGGCCAGTGTATTTTTCACACATGGTTACTCTAAGTCATGGACGGAAAGACTTTGTAGTTTTTGAAAATCGGCACAGAGGCGGTGAAGAAAAAGGTCAAAAACGAAAAAAAATCGCTCAAACTTCGTTTTTAACGTTTCAGAGTTGTGAGCGTCCATCTATGGAGGAATGGCTCAACTACACGTACACGCATTGTTGCTGCATATGTTTTATGGAGCCGAGTGGTCTATAGTTTTCGTCTTTGAATCTCTGAGAGGAAAGTTGGTTATTTGGTTGAATAGCAAGTTGACATCTGGATGATGGTGTGTATTGGTCTGCATGTGCATAAAATAAGCTATCATTTACGATTTTTTACGTTTTTATTTGTGTTTTCATAAACTTTGAGGAGAATTACGGGAAATAACCACCGCGCCCGCGTTGTGTGTAATTACTGTGAGCATGTATCTTATCTCTCTCATTTTTGAAATTCTGCAACTAATATCTTTGTATCTCAAGTAAGTGTATTTGAGACAAAAATTCAATGGAATTATGATCAATTCATATTATTAGCACACAAATCCTCACTATGCCGTTACCTAAAGTAATGCCATCTCTGAAGCAGATTTTACATAACATCATAGCCAAACATTGATAACTGAAGCCTCATGACGTTGAGGCAAAACGTACAACTACAAACCGAGTTTACAAAAGTGTCCATCAGTTAGTGCTAACATATTGTCGAAAAATATTTAGGAGTGAAAAATTTGTTGGTGGGGGGTTGAAGTGGAGTGGTTGAGGGTGTATCGCAATTTTTTGATGTTGTCGTTCATCCATTTAATTTCCGTTATTAATGTTCGTAACTAACTTCTTTCTTAGAGGGTGGGTCTAACTTAAACATGTTGCTTTCTTCCATCCAACCACAGCAGAAAGCATAAGAGAAATCAACATTATTTCTATTTTGAACTGCCCAAGCCTCCTCAAGTAGATTGTTTCACAATCTCGATGCTCTATGAACAAACTAGCGGGCGCATTGGCGAGTTCTGGATGTACGAAGTTCGACACTTTTAGAATGGGAGCTCGAAGTTAGGTGGGTCTGTCTGACAGGCACATTGCTCGGCTGCTTTATGGAGGAGAGCTCTGTGGTGCAAAGCCCGTTGGCGTAGCGGTAGAAGAGAACTAGATCGTTGACGGCTCGTCGGTGCGAACTGGCTCCGAGACTATCGGTTAAAGAGGAGTCATCGATCAGTCGGACAGCCCTCGTCTGAACAGCATCGATCATTAATAATATAGTCGGGGCAGCATGAGGGTTGTTAAAAAATTGTAAAATGTGCACGTCTTCTATAAAAATAAATCTCGAATAAAGATAAAAAAACAAACATATTCATTAATTTCACATACATACATACCTAGGTACTTGAAAAATAACATAATCATTGAAAGGAGGACAAGTAACTTTCTTAGACACGTGTTATCACGTCCCGTATTCAATAACTCCAACGGAGAGTTTTCGCTGCCAAATATCTTCCATTGTTTCCATGCTCGGAAAATACCGACTCCATTGCTGTCGATCCATAACACGAATAAATAGGTCGTAATAAGGAGCGTGTGTCATAAAGTAGGCCTTGGTCAGGGGGGCTTGAAGAGGTTCTTTCTTGCCGTTCTTGATGGCCTATTCACTTTTCCCGCGCATTGTTTCCGATGGGCTATAAAACCAGACTATCAATTCTGCCGGCTAAGCACACTCTCGACTTGCTCTAAAAGCGTCACCAATTGAAAGAAAGAGGTTCAGGGATGGCTAATTCTCCACGTAAACAGATGAGTAATAACCTTGGCAGTGACGTATGCGGTATTCAGAGAGGGAAAGGTGAAAACGTCGAACTTATAGCCAGGCTCAAAACTATGCCTTTATATTTTTATATCACTATCCCTCCCAAACATTCGAGTACATCTGGATTCATGCTCAATATTACAATTACATTGATGTTTGAGTAAAGTGAAATGCGACCCATTTCATTTCCTGTATTATTATTGTGAAGATTTTTACAAATACATTTACTGCTCGATTGTTTTGATGGCGCTGTCTATAAGGACATACAGGTGGCCACAGCGCCATTTATGAGACACTATCTTTTTCAAAGTATACAGGGTGTCCGCGCAAAGCTAGCGCAAAGTTAGGACTTTCCTTTAAAGGGAGTATAGATCTCAAAAAGATAAGCATAAGATAACCGAGCTTAGGCTTCGTAAAATCAATCAAATCTAATCCGCTCCCGTATCTCGATAAGATGAAAAGTAAGAAGTCGGACGCATGTCGGTATTCAACTGGCGTCGGCAGCGTATTTAAGCAAAACATATATTTATAAATCGGTTCGAAACAACCAAAATGGCACACTCGTTCAGCAATATCGATCTTGTCGACATGATTTTAATTTATGAAGTGGAGTGTCTTCAAAATGCTACCGAGGCCTCAGGAGGGTATGCAGTTCGCTCTCCCAAACCTCATAATTCAAGGCCGCGTAGATGTGTTAACCTTGTGCAGCTTAGGATTTTCCTGCAAGAGTACGTTTTTGTGAGAGATTCTTGCACCAACATGAAAATAATGCAGGGTTGAAGTTGAACCCCACTCTAATCACAGACGAATCAACCTTCACGACTAACGGGATAAATAACTTCCGAAATACTCATGCATGGTTATCGGAAAATCTTCACGTAGTCCACCGGTCATATTTCCGAATCGGGTGGACAGATTACAATACCTGGACCCTACAAGTGACAGAGTTGTACTTGAAATTTCTTTGCAAATGAACGGTGAGTACTTTTCCAATTA